ACGTCACAAAGACACCAAATATTGTTTCCTCTCCGTCACAACTTAAATGTCTCTATCACACTTCATGGACGATCAGAGTTTATTAACGGAGTCACTCAGCTACAGTAAATAATGCAATAAGAAGATCTGATCAATCGACACAGATACATAACAAGATAATCAAATCATTTCCAAACACATGAAGTATGATCAGAGGAAATGAATGAATGTCTCAGTGTTGAGATAAAAGCAGCTCTTGGCTTCTGTACAGAACGAAGAGGAGACGTGTTCTCACCAGTGATTGGACTGAAGGATGGGGCTTTCATTCTGAGCGATGTGATATAAGGCACTCATAGCGTTCATGTTGAACAGTGGGGGCTTCCTCTCCGCTGTGGAAAGAACACAATGTCACGACCCTTCTGTTTCACATGAACTCACGTCTGGGTTTCTTCACACAGAGTCAGACTGCAGCTCTTACCCAGCTCTATGGAGGTGATGCCCAGCGACCAGACGTCCACCTTGCCGTCGTACTGGCCCTCATCCATCGCCAAGATCACCTCTGGAGCCATCCTAACACAGGAAGCACAGCAGACGTTTATGGTTATATTTACTGGGTCAAATGTTAATATACTTTATGTTAGAGACCTGCACAATGTCGGATATTCTAAAACACAAATCTAAATTCTACCAAGAAGCCACTTACACATTACTCCATGTGTATTTTTACAGCCCGCTCTGTCTGACACTATAGGACCACCGTAGTTGGGCACGTAGCTAACAGCTAAAAATGAATACTTTTAACACAAAGAACCAAAATCTTGTCGTACTTTCTTTATTGAGAATATGATCTTGTCCTGCAGAAGATAAACACACTCAAAGACGTGTGGTAAAAGATTTAAAAACTAACTTACTATCTCTCGTTCACAAGAATTTCATGTTAAAGGTTTTAAATAAAACAGATGATCACTGTGAAAAGACAAGATACAGGCAGATGTTTCACAACAAGAGGAACTCTCTCAGACCTAAAACGACCTGTTTTAACAGGTTTAAAACAGACGTTGCTGTTAATTATCTGCAGTACGTGTGGGAGGAGACGGCAGGTTCACTCACCAGTAGGGAGTCCCCACGAAGGAGTTGGCCGGAGCCACAATCGAAGCAGAACCAAAGTCCCCCAGTTTGACCTGACCGGGCTCCGTCAGCAGGATGTTTCCCGCTTTCACGTCCCTGCAGACAATCAGACGACGTTAGCACCAACAGTTAAGATGTTAACATTAATACACTGATGTTCCTATTAGCCTGTTAGCTCCGGGAGACTAACCATATAAACTCAATACGTCACAGTGGACTGAAGAGGCTGGTAATTTATATTTATAGTAAGAATCTACAGATGGCTATGGCCAACAGGATAAAGGATCACTGTGAGATAACAGGAATCATTTGAGTTCAGGATAGAAAGTTATAAACAATAAAGTTATATTTAGATTCTCAGGATGTCAGCACATTCCTGGATCATTAAGCTCAACGTTTAAACTCACAGCCCATATAAACACATCCTTATTGCTTTTAATGTCGTTTTTAACGGACAAAGTGAGGCCGGACAGTCAGTCGGAGCTAAAAGGTTTACCTGGGGAGGTGCAGCCAGGATAACTGGAAAATCTTCAGATGCATAACTTCCTGTTTTTATTTTGTATATTTATTTATGTTTGATTGGCTGCTGCTAAACTTGTCTGTGCAAGATATTTATTTCTTGAGATAAAAAGGGGTTTGCATGGATGGTTGAATTTGAAATTAGTGTTCAAAAGACACTTTTCTTTTATAAATGTGAATAGTTTATAGATTTTGGCACCTTGTAAAGCCACAAACATTTAGGACATTTGAGGATTTGTTGCTGTAAACATATTAAATAATAATCCAGTGTTCATACAGCTTTACATATTTCAAAGTACCTAAACCAATAACCAATATCTAAATTGGGTTTATAAATACAAACAGTAAAAACAATTCCTTTATACCCACAGCGATCACTGGATATTGTAATACTACTAATTAGAGTTTGAGTAATTGAGAGCGATTTTGTCGAAGAAACAACAGATTATGTTGAAAAAAACTTTCCAGACTTGAAGGAAGAGAAATCATGTGAAGATCCGACAGAGTGAAAAAGGTTTTACCTGTGAATCATATTGTGAGAGTGAAGATATGCTAATCCCTGCAGTGCACCATGGGTAATAGCAGCTATTTCGATTTCCTGGAGTGGCTTTTTGTGAACTGCGAGGACGAGAGAAAGACGGAAGTTAACGAGTGATAAATAATCAAAGTCTGAACTGAAGTAACTGAGAACAACAGAGTGTGAGACGGACCTTCGAGGAGGTCGGAGGCCGAGCCGAGGCAGTACTCCATCACCAGCTGAGAGAGAAACAACATGAACATCATTTATACACAGAATCACAGCACGAGCAGGGCAGAGGCACACAGAGGAGGAAGAACTACTCGGATACTTTAACTCAAGTAAAAATAGCAGCACTGTAACAGTAAATGAATTACTCTGAATCAGTTTCAGGAACTTTTACAGGAGTTTTGAGACAGTTCAGGACAGCACTCAAAAAGGTCTCTTTAAATCCGTTTGGCTGTGAACACTGACTGACGTGGCCGATTCAAAAAGGAGCGTTTAAAAATACATCTGACAGCTACTAACTGTCGAGTTTCAAACTAAATATGAACCTATAGGTTTAACTGAGGGAGGGACTAAAACACAATTATAATATTTCCAGGAGAACTCAGATTATTTCCAGGATATTTGGTCATTTTAATCAATTTTCAGGTGTTTCCACGAAGTCGCTAAACGTCCAGATTTTCCAGGTACTTAAGGAAATCGATAGTTTTGATAATGAATGAATTGTTTCTGTTTCTTATTCATTAAATGTGCTGTATATTCGCTGTCTCCAGCTCAGAGAGTGAGGATTTATTTAAAGTTAGTCTGTTATACGACAGTCGGGTTGCAGGGACGTATTACGACGTATTACGACGCCCTCGCTGACTGACGCCGTACGCACCCATGCTGTGTGCTCCTTCAGGTAACATCCTCGATACTCGATAGTGTTCGGGTGGCGAAGCTTCTGCAGGAACTTCACCTCTTTAATGATGTCCTGCCATTTCTGCACAAGAACACAAAACGCTCTCTTATTCTCAACACATTTTACAGAAGAACAGCAGTAAGACACGATACAGTAAGTAAATCAGATATTAGTAATTTCTCTAGTTTGTTACCTCGTTTGTCTGCTTGCCGCTGTAGGACATTTTCTTAATGGCCACCACCTCATTGTTGCGCACATCTCGGGCCTGTTGGACGACAGAAACACAATAATCAGTAAATTAAACACTTAAGAGACCAGACGAAAACAGGCTACAGGTAATCAGATTACACTTTTATAAGCTTTGTTATCCCAGCTGACATGTAAATGACAGATTATTAACAAAAGCACCATCATTATTGTGACTGTGGCCCAGCATACAGCTGTTATGGCACAAAGTACAAACTGAAACAACACAGAACAACAGAAACAATAAAATGTAATAAACAAAAGGTGATAACTAAAATAGATAGAATAACCTTTAATACAGGACTTTCTTTCATTTCTGTTTCAATGACCTGAACATGTAAAACAAGAGACTTTATCTCTTTAAATGCTGTTGTTTATCTGTCGTAGTGTTTCATAACTGTAACTGTCGTCGTTTCTGCTGTAGATCAATAAATAAATCTTTTCTTCACCACTCGGTGGAGCCAGAAGATCAGTCTGATGTTCGGAGAGCCGAGGAACAGAAACGTACACAATGATCCGCTCGTCATTTTGTTTTTTGGATCAAATACTAAATATTTTCTCAAATCTACTGGAAGAGCATAATCCTCCGAAGGGCTTAATCCTAAAGCCCGAGTGAGGATGCCGCTCAGACAACAAAGTCCTACTGCACTGCGATGACAACATTAAAGTCGGTCCAGACTGTAAACAACTAAATGATGCATCATTACTGTTCCTACTGAGAATACGGCCCAAAATAAACATTAAACACAGAATAAATGGGGTGGAGCTCCACAAACACTGCTGCCACCAACCAAACGCTGATTTAAGGTCAGCTGTCTCTTTGACACACGAGAGAGAAACTACAGTATGAAGCAGCAGCACTCTTGTTAAGTTGATGCAAATTGATGCGCGTCGTCTATTTCTGCACATTTAATGGCCTTTTAAGGATCCTCTGAAACGCAGACAGTCAGTGTGGAGGTGTTAGTCTACCACGCTGCCTGAAGAATAAACGGTGAGATGAGATGCACATACACATGTTGTGTTCCCACTGTTTTAATTAGGAGGGGGCATTTTCAGATTCACCGTTTCCTCATTAATGATAAAATGCAGATGAGACAGAGCTGCTGTCCTTCAGAAACCCACACAGGAACACTGCTCGGCTCTCCTGGGCTCGCTGTGCACTTCTGAGGGAATGTCTTCAATCTGATAACTTCAGCAGCGGGAACACGACGCAGAGTCTCTCACTGCTTCATACTGGGACACAAAACAGGAAACTACCAACAAATACCAACAACTTCCTGCCAACTGAACAGTCCACTACTTTAAAGCCAGAAAACACTCAATTTATTTCCGTTGTCTGGATTTTAACAGACATTTGAAAACGTTCACCGGTCGAATTATCCGTCAGTTTATTCTGATGCAACCTTATTCTCATCTTCTGCTGCTTTAAAACATCTTCACCTTCCTCCTCTGCTGGTTCACGTCCCGGCGCCGGCAGACGGCTGCTGTGCTGCGACTGCGTTGTTATTAACCTGTTTTCTCAAAGTAACTTAGACTGTAACATCTTAGCTGGAACAGCTGACCGGTTGTCCAGTGAAGATCTACATTAATTCAATGTTAATAACAGTTTAACAACTAACAGCACTGATAGTTTATGCGACCATCGTCTTTCGTGGTGTTTTAAGGCAGTGTGTTGTGTGTTTCCCCCAATAGGACAGATACTTTACCTGCTGTTCATCAGGAAGGGAAACCTGAACATATTTTCTCCATAAAATCACTGAATCCAGTTCTGAAGCTGTAAATCTGTGCTTTGGTCCCAGAAACACTAACTCTTGTCTCACTTGTTGTCTAAATGAATCAGTGTCTCAGTAATTGTCCAGGCTTTGTTACTGAAGCTGTCGAGAGGACGGATTATCCCTGAAACTCGACCACACAAACATCTGTCACCAACAAGTGGATCTGACTCACAAAGTAAACGGCTCCGAAGCTGCCGTGACCGATCTCACGGAGGTCAGCAAACAGCTTCTCCGGATCATCTTTACAGAAGAGATCTGCCACCTCGGGGTCCTTGAGATTGCCCGCCCGTGCACTCGAGGGCATGGCCAGGGCCTGGAGGACGGGAGAGAGCACAGGTCAGGACAGGGACGACATGTTCATCATTGTTACTGTCACTAACTATTAAGAGTCTGTTATACAACTTCAACACTCGTGTGACTTCATTTTCTTCTTGTTTTCAGTCATTTTTTAAAGAAAAAGGTTCAAATTCTCTGATTTTAGCTTCTGAAATGTGAATATTTTC